TCTTGGCTTTTTTCTTTCATGTTGTTGCCATTCTAAACCTTCAGTGTTATATATCCTTATTCATTAACAACAAAAAAAAAAAAAAAAATGGAAAATGCTAAAAGAGGAATATAACATTAAATCAAGTGGCATTTACATACACACAACACAATTTTTTTGTATTCATATATCTAACATTTAAACTTTTTATATATATATATATATTTATATCATCCAAATCTTTCATATGACATAAAAAATACCACCATTGGAACTTTAAAAAAGTGAGTACACATTTTCATGCATGGGAAAGGTGGTATAGATATATTTTAAAAAAAAAATTAAATAAACAAAAATATATAGGCATGTAAAAAATGATGTGTAAGAGTTAGCTATGTAAATGCATAGAAATTTAAGGGTATGTATGTAAATCTTCCTAAAATCAGTCTAGTTTAAGTTAATCATTGATTGCCTGTAGTATCTTAAAACCACATATATGTATATATATATGTTTTATCTATTGTGTTCCAGATGGATTCAAGACAGCCGCGACCAGTATACAAAGGAACGTCTGGATGCCATTAATGATGAATTTAAACTGTATCGGTGCCATACCATAAAGAACTGTGTGCACGCCTGTCCAAAGGGATTAAATCCTGCCAAGCAGATTGAATCAATTAAAAAGCTTCAGCTCAAGCAGTAGCTGCTCTTCATATGTTTTTTACCGACTCCAATTCCTCCGATGAAAGCTGTAGAAAGCTGTATGTTCTCTGCAGCTTCTGCTGAATAATCATTATTGAATGTAACAAACTGTATATTTCCTGCCCCGAATCTTATACTTTCTGAGATAAGAAGGCTATTCAGTCAGCTATGTTTGATGCTTCATGAAATTTTGTGTGAAAAGCAGTTGTGTAAGTGGTCATCTTCTTCTCTATTATTTGTCTTTCCCGGCCTTTTCTTAAGATCTTAATCATGACTTTTGTTTTTGTGATGCGGATCATTATTGCAGCTGCATCACCTGCTTATAAGGAATATAAGTCTCCTGATTAGTCCCAAAGTTTATAAATGTGTAAATTTTGTCCATGAATTCTTTTAAGTTACGTTGAAATAGACTTGATGGATGATTATTTTAGTTCCAATTTATTGAGACGGGATTAATTTGTTGCTTTTATAGATTTTGTGGTTAAAGTAACTCAAATTGTGAAAGGTTTGGAGACCATTTTAAGGTCTTTGCCCGTTACTTGCAGAAGTGTTTATTTCAGGCAACATTTCCGCAGCGTTATTTTAATATGACAATAAGTGTTATTTGGCTAGTTTTTTATTATTTTTTATTTTTTTATTTTTAATCTACTGTGTGATGGTCATAAGAAAGTAATTAAATAATTATTTAACTTTTTTTATGTAAAGCAATATTTTACTTTTCCCCTTTAATTCTTCATAACTTGCATTTTTAAAAAAAAAATTTCTTTATGTGTGATTTGTTGTGTCCTGTGATTCAAATCATTTGATTGATGATAATTTATAAAGGAAATTTTTTTATTTTGGATATTTAGATATTCTTAGGTGTAGATAATAGATAAATTTACACTACCACATGATAATCACATGCACATGCACCACCTTTTGGTGTGAATTCATTTATAGTCTTACCTTCAATGCCATTGCTTGTAATACTATGAAGCACAATCAACTTAAGCCCATAGGAGACAAACAATTCTTGATACTTATTAGAAGATTTGCGGCGATAGAGTAATGATTATTTCTTGTTTTAGCATTGCATGAAAAATTAGCATACACTCAGGTAATTAAAAAGAAGCAAGCAAGAGGTGAAACATCGACTTTTTAGTGACAAGGGGAAAAAATCATAGGGTCTAACCCATTTGAAATGAATGATGAGTACACAGATTCACTCGTCACTTGAATTAGGAAAGATAAAATTACAAAGTTATATATCCTTAATCTGGTTGTAGTTATTGGTGACAGCAGATTGTAAGGGCCATAGTCAATTGTTGCGGAGGTGATAGTCCATCGTAAGTGTTGTAAATGGTGGCTGTAACACCAGCTTATCGTAGAAGTTGTTGATAACCATGACAACAGTCAGTCAGTTGGGTCTTAAATGATTGCTTCAGGAGTGTTGGTTGGTCATAGAGGTTGTAGTAAGGAGTTCTAGGAGATGTGGACAACGTAGGCTGTATAGCCCATACTTGTGAGCCGTGATGACGTTTGTGGGCTGCATGGACCGAAATCGGGAGTTGTACTAGCTATGAATCATGTACTTCATAGTTGTTCATGTAGGTCGTAGTGGTGTGTAATAATAAAATTTGTGGGTCACAAGGGTCTAAGTAAGGGCTGTGTCAGTTGTGAACAACGTAAGTTGTTGTTGGTCACATAGGTTGGAGTGGTGAGTATTAATTATGTCCCTAGGCTATGGCGACCGAAGTTGGGCGATGCACGAGCTGTGGACCACGTAAGTTATGGTGTTGAGTTGTAATAACGTCCATAAGCCGCGGGTCCAAAGGTGGGAGCTACACGAACTATGGGTCATTTAGAACGTAGTGGTGAGTTGTAATGACAGTCGTAGGTTGTTAGAGCCAAAGTCAGGAGCTGCGCAAGCTATGGACCGCGTTGGTCGTAGTTGTTCACGTTGACCGTAGTGGTGGGTTGTAATGATGTCCATAGATCGCGTGGGCTGGAGTCGGGAGTTGCACAAGCCGTGGACTAATCAGGCCGTAGTTGATTACGTAGAGCATAAATATGAGTTGTAACGACATCAATAAGCCGCGAGGGCTGAAGTTGGGAGCTGCACGAGTTGTGGACTGCTTAGGCCGTAGTTGATGACGTGGTCCGTAGTGGTGAGTTGTAATGATTTTCATAGGTCGTGGGGTCCTAAGTCAGGAGCCACACGAGCTTATGTGAAGTGTGTTGCTACATCGTATTTGGCGTGCGTTGTTGCACTATCGTTTGGGTAAGCATGGTGTTCAAAATTTTTTTGGTAATGCAAAGATTATTTGTCAATCAATGTTAATAATATTTTTGTGCTTACTACCTCATATTTCTTGGGCATTTACATGGATGCCAACCAATTCCTATGCATTTATATTCTAACACCCAAACTATTTCTTACCACTCAAAGTTTTCATATCAAATAATTAAAAAAAAAAAACATATTTTCATACATAATAAGATGTCATATATGTAAAAATTAAAATTTGGATATTATAAAAATAAATAATAACAATGACGTTGAATGTATATAAATCTTATTAGCATTATAAGATGATAAATCTTTATTTAAAACTTTAAATTAATATATTTGTAATTTATAAACATGCAAATTAATTAATCTTTTAAAAAAAATGTAAACGAGTCCTATGAAATTCGCCTCAACGTGTTCGGCAGTGAGCCGGAATTACAAATTTTTATTCGGTACGTGCACCGCATGAACCCCTACATGCGGTACCGAATAAAAAAGCGCCACGTGGAATGCGATTCCACGTGGCTTTACAGCTTAAAAATAAGCGTTTTTTTATGCTCGACCCGACTCGATACTCCTTTTTGACAAAAATTTAATGCATAAGGCCCTTTCCCGGTTATACCCAGATTTAGTTTCGCACTTTAGGGTTTGGAGCTGCCGAAAAGGACTGCTCTGCCGACGACGAGAACGACAACCGCTTCCAGATCTGTGTGAGTTTAGCTTTTTGTACCGGATCTGTACAAATCCTCTCTGCTTCTCCATTATGTAGTTTGTTGATCTGTGCGAGTTTTTGCAATCAATATCTTAGATATATCGTAGGTTTAATAAGGTCTATTTTTTGATTTGGAATTTTTATTGCATTCTTCTGGGTTTATCAGAGGTTAGTTTTATTCGAATTTGTTTCTGTGCTTGTGTTTAACAATCCAGATCTTGACAGTATTCTCGTGTAATTTTTGTTAATAAGGAATGTTGGGGTTATTGTGGGGTGATTGTGATATTATTATGATTTTATTGTTGTGTTGTGCTGTTGTACTGTTGAAGAGACTTTTTTGCTGTGACTTTATGATTTTATCGTTATGTTATTATGGTTTTATTGTCTTTGCGATATTATCTCTGCAGTATTCCGGTGTTATTTTTTTAACGAAGGATGTTAGTGTTATTATAGGGTTATTGCGGTATTATTATGATTTTATTGTTGTGTTATTGTAATATTGAAGAGATTTTTATTATCGTGTGATTATGGTGTCATTGTCCTTCCTATTGGTGTTATATTGGTGTTATTGTGGTATTGTGTCGTAATGATTTATAGTGTTAATTGGGTATTAGCATTGCGGTATTCTCGTGTTATTTTTATTAACGATTGATATTGGTGTTATTGTTGGGTTATTATGGTATTATTATGGTTTTATTATTGTGATATTATACCGTTTAAGAGAATTTTATTGTTGCAGCTTTATGAGTTTATTATCGTGTGATTATGATGTTATTGTCTTTGCTGTTTTAGTAGACACACTTATCTTACTATTGGCTTATTTGTTTTTCTATAACTTAAATCATTCAATGCAAGAAATAAAAGGAGGAAGATGGGCGAACAAGCCAAGTACATATCGTTGAGATGGAGATATGTTGATGGAGAGTTTCCTGATTTATCAGATGCAATGAGATGAAGTTATTTTGTGATTCATATAATCTTGATCGATAAACAGTAGAAAAATCAGTCGCATCAATGATCAAAGGTTGATGGAGAGGAAGTTGTTGATGGAGAGGAAAGGTTGATGGAGAGGAAGTTTTATGCAGTTCGCACATCTAAAGTTGATTGAGTTATATAATCTGATGTCAAAAGAAAATGTAATTGTCAGTTTTGATGTTCCGGACTTCTCAAGTCTGATGTGAATGGTATTCCGTCAGGTGAACCAATTGGAACACTATTCACATGAAACTTAAAAGTAAAGAACAACATAACTTACAATAACATGTTATTCTGTTTCCACATTTTAGCTAACCCATTAAGAATTATTTAATACAAATAAAATCATCGCCATTATGAGCCTGAAACTTACTCTTTACTGTCAATCAAGAATTTCGCCGCATACTATGTATTACAGCCCTTTCTCTCATCTCGTTCTCGATGGCCCTCCTCCTCCTCCGCCGCGTCGTCGCCTCTTCCGCGGAGCGCACCGCCGCCGCCACTAACATAGCAGCCCGCCTTGTTCCAACACAGTGGATTTCCTCGCAGGCGGAGCCTGCCTCATCGAAGCCGAAGAAGATGAAGACGTTCTCGATCTACCGTTGGAATCCCGACAATCCGACGACGAAGCCGCAGCTCCGTGACTACGAATTGGATCTCAGCGAGTGCGGGCCGATGGTCCTCGACGCATTGATCAAGATAAAAAATGAGATGGATCCGAGCCTCACCTTTCGGCGATCGTGCCGCGAGGGGATCTGCGGTTCCTGCGCCATGAATATGGATGGAGACAATGGGCTGGCGTGCCTCACTAAGATCCGCTCGGAAAGCGGTACGGCAACTACGATCACGCCGCTGCCGCACATGTTTGTCATCAAGGATCTTGTGGTGGACATAGACATGACCAACTTCTACTTGCAGTATAAGAGCGTGGAACCGTGGCTGAAGCTCAAGGACGCGCCTGCAGTGCCGGGGAAGGAGAATCTCCAAAGCAAGAAGGATCGGGCCAAGCTGGACGGCATGTACGAGTGCATTCTTTGTGCTTGCTGTACCACATCCTGCCCTAGCTACTGGTGGAATCCGGAGTCCTACCTTGGCCCGGCCGCCCTTCTACAGGCCAATAGGTTATTGCCTTTTAATTTTCTTTTCTTCACCTCCTTTCCTGATTCTTACGATTTGGTCCTTTTATCTGATATGCTGATCATCTTAAAATGATATCTGCGGGTAGTCCCTATTAATATCATTTTTTATTTTCTTGGGGAATTTGAGAGAATTTAATCTCAAACACAAGCACAAGGCATATACAAAGTCTTGAACCCAAGCTTATGCTTTCAACAAAGGTTAAGAGGCTAAGGTGGCTTGCATAGGAGCTGCTGTTACTTGAGCGTGTCGTTGTTTCTTAGGAGTTGCACTGTCGTGCTTGCTTTTTTGGTAATTGGTTTAATCCAAAAAATCGTACTATTTAGATTGTGGCGGTCGAAAGAGGGCTGCTTCAAATTTTTTTTGAAGGTATTCAATGAATGATGAAGAGTAGAATTTGTGTTCGGCAGAGGAGAATCGAGTATGAATTGGGAAATGAACTTGCGGATGTTCTGTGTTTTAGGGGTCTGGAAAAGGAAAAATGAGATCTTATTTGGTGTATTATCATTTAAGGGATGATTTTGATGGAAATTTAAATATTATTCTTTTTACTTGTCACTTTTAGAAAGCGAATGATGTGGGCCTGGGATGATTTTTTGAGATGTTCCATTCTCTTAATAGCTCGTGTTTTTTATGCATTCATTGAGCATTTTTACTTTTCTTACAATATCTATACGGATGTCACAAATTGCAAAGCCATTCATAGGTTTGTTTACCATGCGGCAGTTACCTTGTGTCATAATTTCATTAAGGCATCTTTCTTAAGATTTCCCTTTGCAAAATTTTTACGGCAAAGTTCATTCAATAACCGGATTATTTATCCACTACAACTGATCTCCTCCAATCATTATGGGTAATCTGCGTTAGAAAGGTTTCAAAAGATTTGCAGTAAACCTTATTTCTTTGTCTACTCTAGACTTCGTTTAAATTGGTATAGACCACCTTAAGGTTGCAATATTTTAATTATTTAATTATATGGTGCAATGTAGCAGGTAAGTTGCTACTTTTTAGCAATATGATGATGTTGATGACATTCTTTTCTAAAATTGTGTATTATGACATTTTTTTATATGTGTCCCTTGTATATGTCAAATAGATATGTAGTTATGCCTCGGCTTTAGCTAGTAGCACCTCTTTTGTTGAATGATATGGATGCTTAATGTCTCATGAATGCATTAGCTGCTATGATGAATATTATTTGAACGATGCTTGATGTGTTGATCATGGTTTGGAATTATTCAAGAAGGAACTTGGGTAAAGAAGGAGAACACGAAAATAAACTTTATGAGGAGGAGGAGAAGATAGAAAGAGGTATATCAGGTAGAAAGAGAAGGAGAGGGGGAGATAAGCATAATAGTTACTACTTGAGTTTCTTTTATGGGATTCTAGTAGTTTGGATACTTATTTGGATAAAATCATTATTCTATTTGGCAAGTTCATACAGATTAATATTATATAGCTTGGAATAGAAATCTTTAAACTGCAATAGAGCAGTGGTTGGCTTTGAGCTCTTGATAATCATTGAAAGCCAACTTTCTCTTATTCAATTTCCCATTAGGAGTGTCACATGATGTGCCTTATCAAGAATCTTCCTAATGAAAGCTATTGCATCAATCATAGCAGGGTTTTGATTTTTTCATGATCAAATTTGGGAGCTTGGAATACGAAGATGTGAATAAACGATCAAATGGAGTAAGAACTATCTCAACATTTTCATTTCTTAAACAAAAAATCTAAAACTTAAAAAAGCCATTCTATTTTACATAACTTTAATTTACAATAGTCTGTTTAGATTTAAACTTTTTCAACTCAAAGAGAAATAAAATCTAAATTGTTATATTTATCTTTTTAATTTTCTTGGCATCCGTGAACATATTTTCTAGGATTTTTTTACTCTGAAGTAGATTTTATTAAAAAATATTAGCAACTGAACGTACAAGTTAAACTGCTCAATGGTAAAATATTTCTAAATTATAATAATTCATATTTAAAAAAAAATTGCAAAAAAATAGTAAGTAATAAAAAAAGAGAGTGTAGAAATCAATTTTTTAGTTGCTTTTATTTATTTCAATCTGAATATTCGTTAGTGGGAGTCACTGTTTAAATTTATATGAAAGAACACATTTAATTTTTTTAAAATCCACTAAAATGGTTAACATTCATTTAAATTTTCATTTCTATTTTACATGCACGGACATATTGCATCATTAACCATCACCATCTGACGATGACTCCACATATGTATATGTATGTACTGTATTTTAATTTTTTATTTTATTCTAGCATTTTCCTTAAACAATGAAACAAATGAAAAAAAAAAGTGGTTTTGCATTTTTGAAGGAATAGAAAAAAATATTTATAATGTTTGCATATTAAAAGATAGTATTGAAGCAATTTAAAATATTTAGATGCACTTTCAAAAATAAATGGATTACGTAAAATAAAAACCTATTTACCCACATGTTCAATATAACTATTGTTTTTTTTCTCGATCAAGCTAGTCTTTTGATTTACTGTAGTAGTGCATTAGCTTTGATTAGCTTTTATTGTTTTGTTTTTTTTCTGTTACTGGATTTTAATTATAGTATTAAACGCATTGAATTAGTTAAACATATATAGTTAATAAACTTTAATAAAACATGTACATTAACATCATTTAGTTTATTGAAATTTTATGATATATGAAAACCTTATTAATCAAATGCTTTTGATCAACAAAGTTTCTTAATATTTAATTTGTCATTTTTGAGTTAGGAGCACTAATTACTTGTTTCGAGAATCTAAATTAAATTTGCACCTAAACTAAATAGCTAATAAAAAAGATATTTAATTTTGCATATATATTTTATACTTGAAAGTTTCTTTTCACTTTTTTGAAATTTTATGATATATGAAAACTTTATTAATCAAGTGCTTTTGATTAGCAAAGTTTCTTAATATTTAATTTGTCATTTTGTAATTAGGAACACTAATTGCTTGTTTTGAGAATCTAAATTAAATTTGCACTTAAACTAAATAGCTAATAAAAAAGATATTTAATTTTGCATATAAATTATTTACTTGAAAGTTTCTTTTCACTTTTTTGATTTAGTCTTCTCAATTATCCTTAACAATTTTAACAAAATTTTTAAAATCATTTTAATTTAGTAGGGTTTTTTTTTTTTCAAAAATATGTAGAATTATAAAACATAAAAACTTAAATTTTTAGTTTCAAACTTTTATCTAAAGTCATAAAAATCCCACTTTCCCTCACTTTCAAGCCATTTCTTGCTCTCGTAATTCGTAGGAGCTTGCTTGAGCACCTTGTAGCACAGAAGTTCTGCTCTATTCTAGTAAAATGCTCGGCTTCTCTTCCCCTTTATTCTTCCTCTTCTAATTAAGTCACCCGCACACTCACCACTCCTTTGTTCGCTCGTGTTTTGTCGAAGACACGCGAGGAAGGCTCACTTGAGCCGTTTGAGCCACCCAGAGCGATCATTTTGTTCCACTATTGCCTTTCTATCTTTATTTCTTTTGTCTTGTCGTTTCTTTACTTCCATCTCTCTTACTCGCGTCCCTTTGTCTCACTTTATCTTTGTGCTTTGGTTGTGTGTTTGCATGGAATGGGGGTAATGAGGGGATAACTCCCTTGTTGATTTCACATGTTCAGTGGAAATGTCAATTGAACGACACTTGTAAAGGAAATGTTGTTAGCATATGAATTCATTTAATTTATTATATATACAAATTATATTTATATATATATATATATATAATTAAGCTAATTAAAATTAATAGATAATTATTATAGATTTGGACTTGGAATTGAGAAATTCTCAAGAATTAGTTTTGTATTGGCTTTGATGGTACTCAGATTGAAATCACTAGCTGACTAATGAGCCAAATCTAGCTTAGATTAAACGTAAATTAAACCAGTCTTGGATTGGATCAAAACCAGCGATCGATTGAATTAAAATGCATACATACACACATATGGCTGCATATATTATTTATTATAAGTTGGAACAAGTGAGCCTTAATTTAAAAATAAATATTTTGCTTAAACTAGAAATCTTTTTGAGTCTAGTCAACTTGAAATTATTTGATTTCTAGTGGACTTAAAATTGTTTTTCAATCGAGTATATACATAAATTTTGTTACTAGTATTCTGCATATATCATATTTTATGCATTATATTTTTCTATATAAATATATATTTCTAGTTAAATTTTGAATTGAGTCAAATTGTCTTCTTGTTTGGAGTGGAGCTAATTGTTCATTTCTAATCAAGTCGAGTTGAATCAAATTTCTCGTGCTTTTCAATTGTGTCTCGAGTTTTCTTAGTGCACGTGGCATCGAAGCTAGGAGATGTTAATGCCTAGTTAGGTTTTCATGGTTTTTTTCTTGCAGGTTTCATTATGTTGTTGATTTAGTTGAGCATCAACTTCTTTGGCATTATACTTGGTCAATTTTTGTATTACCGCTGGCGGAAATTGGTTGACTATGGCTCAAATTTTGGCTATTACTTTATTGTATGTATTGTGAGTTGCTTTTGTTGGTTTGTGTTGGAATTTAATTCAAGGTGTTCGAAATTTGTACCTTGTAACCGCTTTGACCCTTTAGGGTTTTCAATCTTTTAGTGTGAAGGGCACTTGTATGGTCTCTCTTCCTTCGAAATTCTTGATATTCCAGAGCTTCTTATTTTCATTTGTTCTACACGTGCAACTCATTTAAAAGCAAAGGCTCCTGTCCATTTTGTAAAAACTCATCTTTCCTTTATCGATGTGGCTCTATCATCTTATTCATAAAATCTTTAATAAAGGCTCCAATGGGCAAGACTCTACTACTCTTCTCATTGGTATTATGCCTCTTTTAGCTTCCCATGTTAACTTAGTATATTTCTCATTGAATAGAAAATTGATTCAAATGTTCAATTACCCTTCCATGGAAGAAATTGAAATTTTCTTCAAACGTCTTAGCTCATTGCATCTGTTTTCCTTGGGGT